GGGGGCAATCAGTTCACATATGGTCTCCAGGGCACAGCTATTGATTGTTTTATATATTAAGGGCATGTGAGACAAGGGAGATGTACCTGTCCATAGTTGGTTATTAGGAAAGGGAATTGTACTAATTATGTTATGTAACAAACATTTTGTCTGTCATTGTTTGTTGCCGCTACAATTATTACCACCTAACCCTGTTGCATTCCATGTTCCCCCTTCCCTCTTCAAAAGGACCACAATGGAAATCAGCTGTTAAGCTTTATTGCGTTATCCTTGAGGATTTTCATAAATTGTTTATGGAGGCGTCACCGGCTGGAGCGCCCTTATGTATGTATTTTACAAATTGTCAAATAAATTCAATCAATCAATCAACTGGCTCTCATGAGGATCACCACAGGAAAGGAAGACCCAGAGTTACCTCTGTTGCAGATGATATATTAATTAGAGTTAACTGCACCTCAGATTGCAGCCTAAATAAACTCTGCTTCACAGAGTTCAAGTAACAGATACATCTCAACATCAACTGTTCAGAGGAGACTGCGTGAATCAGGCCTTCATGGTCGAATTGCTGCAAAGAAACCACTACTAAAGGACACCAATAAGAAGAAGAGACTTGCTTGGGCCAAGAAACACGAGCAATGGACATTAGACTGGTGGAAATCTGTCCTTTGGTCTGATGAGTCCAAATTTGAGATTTTTGGTTCTAACCGCCATGTCTTTGTGGTTCCCACCGTGAAGCGTGGAGGAGGAGGTGTGATGGTGTGGGGGTGCTTTGCTGGTGACACTGTCAGTGATTTATTTAGAATTCAAGGTACACTTAACCAGCATGGCTACCACAGCATTCTGCAGCGATACGCCATCCCATCTGGTTTGCGCTTAGTGGGACTATCATTTGTTTTTCAACAGGACAATGACCCAAAACACACCTCCAGGATGTGTAGGGGCTATTTGACCAAGGAGAGTGATGGAGTGCTGCATCAGATGACCTGGCCTCCACAATCCCCTGACCTCAACCCAATTGAGATGGAAATGGTAAAAATAAAGAAAAACCCTTGAATGAGTAGGTGTTCTAAAACTTTTGATCGGTAGTGTATTTTAATAAAATGTATGCTTATTGTAGGTTGAAAGACCATGGGTGCCAACTGTCCAGCGACTGTGTTTTGTGACTTTCACACACCCACAACAACAGGCCTGGCCCTGGCAGAATGCAGACATTACTCTGGCCTCCCACTCTGGCTGCTACCGAACACCACTCTGCTTTGTCCACTGGCCAGGAGATAGAGCAGGAGGGGGGAGGGAGAGAGAGAAAGTGAAAGAGGGAGGTGAGAGAATGGAAAGGGAAACGGGGTAAGGGAGTTGAGAGAGTGAGAAGGGGGAGGAAATAAGAGAAAGTATGAGAGTGGGTGAGTCTGGTGGGGGAGAGAGATAAAATGATAGAGAGACAGGAGGGAGAGCTAGACAAAGGCCAAGGCTCATCTGAGCTAACTTGATTTCTGCTCCCAGTGCTAGTCGATAATCTAATAAGACAGTATGAGACAAACCACTGGATTCAGTACTGCTCTCTCTCCCCCTCTCTCTGTGCGGAGAGATGCAGTGATCTCCATGCCAGAACCCAGCGATGGCAGATACAGCGAGGGAAAAAAGTATTTGATCCCCTGCTGATTTTGTACGTTTGCCCACTGACAAAGACATGATCAGTCTATAATTTTAAGGTAGGTTTATTTGAACAGTGAGAGACAGAATGACAACAACAAAATCCAGAAAAACGCATGTCAAAAATGTTATGAATTGATTTGCATTTTAATGAGAGAAATAAGTATTTGACCACTCTGTAAAACATGACTTAGTACTTGGTGGCAAAACCCTTGTTGGCAATCACAGAGGTCAGACGTTTCTTGTAGTTGGCCACCAGGTTTGCACACATCTCAGGATGGATTTTGTCCCACTCCTCTTTGCAGATCTTCTCCAAGTCATTAAGGTTTCGAGGCTGACGTTTGGCAACTCGAACCTTCAGCTCCCTCCACAGATTTTCTATGGGATTAAGGTCTGGAGACTGGCTAGGCCACTCCAGGACCTTAATGTGCTTCTTCTTGAGCCACTCCTTTGTTGCCTTGGCCGTGTGTTTTGGGTCATTGTCATGCTGGAATACCCATCCACGACCCATTTTCAATGCCCTGGCTGAGGGAAGGAGGTTCTCACCCAAGATTTTATGGTATATGGCCCCATCCATCGTCCCTTTGATGCAGTGAATTTGTCCTGTCCCCTTAGCAGAAAAACACCCCCAAAGCATAATGTTTCCACCTCCATGTTGACGGTGGGGATGGTGTTCTTGGGGTCATAGGCAGCATTCCTCCTCCTCCAAACACGGCGAGTTGAGTTGATGCCAAAGAGATCCATTTTGGTCTCATCTGACCACAACACTTTCACCCAGTTCTCCTCTGAATCATTCAGATGTTCATTGGCAAACTTCAGACGGGCCTGTATATGTGCTTTCTTGAGCAGGGGGACCTTGCGGGCGCTGCAGGATTTCAGTCCTTCACGGCGTAGTGTGTTACCAATTGTTTTCTTGGTGACTATTGTCCCAGCTGCCTTGAGATCATTGACAAGATCCTCCCGTGTAGTTCTGGGCTGATTCCTCACCGTTCTCATGATCATTGCAACTCCACGAGGTGAGATCTTGCATGGAGCCCCAGGCCGTGGGAGATTGACAGTTCTTTTGTGTTTCTTCCATTTGCGAATAATCACACCAACTGTTGTCACCTTCTCACCAAGCTGCTTGGCGATGGTCTTGTAGCCCATTCCAGCCTTGTGTAGGTCTACAATCTTGTCCCTGACATCCTTGGAGAGCTCTTTGGTCTTGGCCATGGTGGAGAGTTTGGAATCTGATTGATTGATTGCTTCTGTGAACAGGTGTCTTTTATACAGGTAACAAGTTGAGATTAGGAGCACTCCCTTTAAGAGTGTGCTCCTAATCTCAGCTCGTTACCTGTATAAAAGACACCTAGGAGCCAGAAATCTTTCTGATTAAGAAGGGGTCAAATACTTATTTCCCTCAGTCGTAGCCGGCCGCGACCGGGAGACCCATGGGGCGGCGCACAATTGGCCCAGCGTCGTCCAGGGTAGGGGATGGAATGGCCGGCAGGGGATGTAGCTCAGTTGGTAGAGCATGGCGTTTGCAACGCCAGGGTTGTGGGTTCGATAAAATAAGGTATGTGCTAACTGTAAGTCGCTCTGGATAAGAGCGTCTGCTAAATGACTAAAAATGTTTTTTTTTTAAATGCAAATCAATTTATAACATTTTTGACATGCGTTTTTCTGGATTTTTTTGTTGTTATTCTGTCTCTCACTGTTCAAATAACCCTACCATTAAAATTATAGACTGATCATTTCTTTGTCAGTGGGCAAACGTACAAAATCAGCAGGGGATCAAATACTTTTTTCCCTCACTGTATATGGAAGTGAATCAAACAGCCGGTAAAAACAATGAGTGTCAGCTGAGCTCTTCTCCCACGACTCAGGGCCTTGTGCAGCCAGTTCAGGTAGGGGTAGAGACCAGGCCGGCCAGGTCTGCCTTTTTAACTTTTACAATTTAGGTTTTACTTTCAATTGAACCCTGAGAAAGCAGACCACCGCCCTAGGGATACAAATATGACTACACACACACCTGTAGCTTAAGGACCAGAGTTGGGGTCGATTAATGGTTGGACCACAGAGGGTTTTGGTGTCTGGGGAGTGGCTGAGGACCGAGGTCATTATGTGGGTAATGTCTGAGACTGAGACAAAGACTCCCTGTGTGTCTGTTTGCTGGGTATGACTACAATGACACAAAACCATGGTCAAATGTTAAGATGAGACTCACTCCCTGGGATAACTTATCATTCTGAACTTGACATGACTCAGTATAAGTTTTTTTTATAGCTCAAATTGTCGTCGCAGTATGAAGACGCACACACCCTGCTGATTTGCTGGCACTGGATTAGGCAGAGCTCTTGGCTTCTCCAGCCCCTGTAGTCAGAGCCCAGCCCATATCATAGCAGGTGATTTCTGTATGGAAATCCCCAGTCGGTCTAGGATCACTCCTAACAAACGCCTGCCATCGTCATCATCCGTCCCATCAGCGAACCCTTTTTTCCACCATTTTCCTGCACAGATGTCTCCCAGGAAGATATGTTTTTATCTCTTGTGTTGATAGAGAATGAGAGGAGCACTGTGTGTGTTTCATAAGTCAACGGTGTGTATATATGCTGTTAACAGTGTGTGCTTGTTTTGGAGGATAGACTTGGTTCACTCAACCTTCCTCTCTATGGGGGTTCTAAGTCCTCCTCTTGCATATCTGGTGTCCCCTGAGCTTTGAGGCCACTGTAAATGGAAACAAAGACTGAAAGCTCATCTCAAGTCTCACTTCGTCTACATTCCCAACTCCAGCCTGTCTCACATTCAGTCAGTCTGTTTCTGCTATTTCCAACTCCTTATGGAGAAAGACTGGCACCCAAGCTAACTGTACCGCACCTCCTCAGTATTCCTGTGGTCAGAAAGACATAGAAATCAGCTGCTCCTGTGCTGTTGTTAGTCAGCTGTCTGTTGCTGTTGACATAAGCTTTCTCAAACAGAACAGATAGCATGGGTTGACTTTCAGATTAAGCCAGCCGTATGATGCTTGTATTGGGTATTATCAAGCTGTTCATGCCCCATGAGGTGTCTGTAGGTTTCATAACAGACCTGTCTAGGCAAGGTTTGATACTGGAGAACAACAGGGGAATGGCGGTCGTCTATTCATGTATTGTAAAGAAATACTGTAAAGTCCATGTCCCTAAATGCAATAAATCATAATTTCACAACAAGCTGAAATAAATTACTGACAAATTGTAGTAGGGCTGAAGGCCCTAAAATGATAAAAATGTAAATGTCAAAAATGTAAATGGAGCCTCTTCATGCCTCGTTTCCTATGCAGGAGAAACATCACCATCTAGTGGTGACCATCAGGGTACAACACATTGGATTTAGGAAGTCTTGCCAAAGCTGGCTTTAATAGATTATTAAAAATCACATGAATATTGAACATAAGAAAATAGGTTGAGGTAAAACAAAACTCTGATGCTGTTATATTGAGTGTTTACTAGAAAAAAACGTGACTATTTTTGTGCATTTACAATGTGTATAACAAAACAAACATACATAACAAATACAAGTAATAAAAAGTAACTTCAAATTAAATGTCCAAACATATCACTTCAAAGCTCTTGGATATAAATGTTTATTCTTCAAGGTGAGACATTCATTGGTCATAAATATTTGTTTAGAAAACATCTGACCATGTAGAAGCTGGAAACCACAATGCTTTGCTTCTGTGGCTCCCAAAGCCGGTCCTGAAGGACCCCTATGTCTGCAGGCTTTCATCTCCATCTCCCATTGGTCAATGGGTATAATTTGTATATAATCCAGTACGGTTTGAGATGAACCTGTACACAGAGAGGTGCTTCAGATTCAGCTCTGATACATGTTGTCTTAGCTATGTCTCCCAAGTGATATCATCTTTCTTTAGGCTAGTGCAGAGTCTCTGGGTCTCTCTGAGCAGCTGGAGGTTCTCCTCCTGACTCACCCCAGCTCTCTTACCCCCCCGTGAGGTGGTCTTAACTGGGGAGGGGGGTAAGGGTCTCACCCCGCTCCCCCCCTTAGACCTGCCATCCTCACTTGTCGCCCGCCGACAAGGATTCTGGGGGTTCTGTGTAAGTTTGTCCACCTGAGTGGGGAGAGGAAACACAGGGAAAGGACATACAGTATTATTAGACATATTAAAAAAAGTCCCTCCCCACCAATCCTCTTCCCTACCCCTCACTCCTCTCCTGCAGATCCAGAACATCCCCCCCTCCCTCTGTGCAGTGTTATGTACATACAGTCTGCTGGTGTTTGCGGAGCTTGGTGATCTGAGATCCCTTCTCCTCCATCCTCTTGACCAGCAGCTCCAGCTCTCTCTCTAGGTCCTCCCTGGTCTCCCGACGCCGCGTCTCATCCATTTGACAAACCAGCTCTTGGTGCTCACTGAATGACAGAGACGGACATTTTAATAACACACACAGTAATGAACATGCACACACACACACAACACACATTAATGTTAACACATTATCAGCCCCCTCAAAATCAGTCAATAACCTGCATACACATCATCCACAAACACACCCACACTCTTAGCTAGTGGTAGTACTCACAAGCTCATCTGTCCCAGTTCGTCCTGCAGGGCCAGCAGTAACTCAGACAGAGAGCCCAGAGCGAGACCTGCCGGTCCAGGGGGAGAGGTGGATGGGGCCCTATGGAGGGCTCTCCTGGCCCCAGTGGAGCCAGACCTGCGCAGGGAACGCACCCGCTCACACAGCTGGGGCTGGTGGTGCTTCATCATGTGGAGGATGCTCTGCATATTAGCGTGCACTGAGTGGCTGGGGCTTGTCGACTAAGATAGGGAGAGATGTGGAGGTCAGTCACAGAGATATTCCCTCAACAAACCCAATATTGAGATACTTGCAAAGTAAAATGCAGACGTACTGTTCCAGCTACGAAAGGCAGTTTATTTTTGGGGAAACCTGGTGGTGCTGGGGCCTCTTGCCTCACCAAACTTGTTTTCTGGGGAGGAAATGAATAGACAATGTTATGTAGCACAGTTTTAGTTGTAAGTAAATGCACAAGTGCATGTCATTAAGTTCTGGTTATTGCATGTAGTACCCTAGAGGCAGTCTTGGATTTCTTCTTTGGTTTGACCTCGTCAGGGTCTACAGGACACAGGCGGAGGTTGGTCTCCAGCTCCCTCTGCAGCTGTTAAAGGAAGTTTGGGCTTGATGAAAATGGAACCTTGTGTGTCCGATCACCGGTCGTGGTGAAAAAGGTCATGCTCCCTATACTTTTATTTATTTTTCTGCAAAAGGTGGGTTAACACTCTCGCAAAATAAAAATGTTTAAGTACACTGTGTTTACCCTCCACTGCACCACTGATTGTGTGTGCTTTTACACTAACCTCGTCTGCTTTCTCCTGCACAAGTTTGCGCTCGTGTTCCTCTTCCAGGAGTTTCTGTTCCAGCAGCTCAATCTTCCTCTGATTACAACAGAGACAAGTTGAGAGATTAACTTTCAATTTACTTTTTGATATACCACCACATACTATGGTTAGGTACACCGCATTCAACCAAAGCACCATTGGTTACCTCAGCCACAGACTGTGTCTTCGACAGTTTCAGACAGTCCCTCTCCAGTTTCTCCAGCTTCTCCAGCGGAGTGTGGGCATCAGAGCTGTTCTGGAGCCTCTGCTTCTGAAGAGACACCTCCAAAGGATAAACAAAGACAAGTGTTAATCTAGTCTGATGCAGCAACGATAACATGAAACATGTCTGCCTAGTGGATGACGAACTGGTCTACAGAGGCCAGCTGATTCACATTCAGTTATATCTATGGACAGTGAAGATATTTAGGGTGTGTTCGTAAATTCACTCTGGAGTGCCAGAGTGCGCTCTGGGCATTCGTAAATTCAGAGCATTGTCAGATTGTCAGTTCGTAAATTCAGAGAGTTTCGCTCTCGGAGCGTACACTGGACACTGACCGAGGAGTGGGGTTGATCCGAGCAACGCAGTCAAGCACCCAAGCTAACTGGCTAAAGTTGGCTAGCTTGCTAGCTACTTCCAGACACAAACGAGAGAACACCTCACTGACGATTTTACTCGCCCTAGCAGAGCTGGTTAGGCTGTTTTCATGTTATCTAGAGCGTTGGTGACTGTAACTGTGCTCCTGGCAACAATTTAATTATGTTTTTTTGCCGACGTTTACTGACACCAGTCATATTTAAACAGGTGTTGCGTGTTCGTAAATGTATCAGTTATTCTGCGCTCTGGCACATTCATATGAGAGTGCTCTGAAATCGGAGTAGATAGCCTGAGTGAATTTACGAACGCACCCTTAGTGAGGGAAAAAAGTATTTGATCCCCTGCTGATTTTGTACGTTTGCCCACTGACAAAGAAATGATCAGTCTATAATTTTAATGGTAGGTTTATTTGAACAGTGAGAGACAGAATAACAACAAAAAAATCCAGAAAAACGCATGTCAAAAATGTTATAAATTGATTTGCATTTTAATGAGGGAGTATTTGACCCCCACTCAATCAGAACGATTTCTGGCTCCCAGGTGTCTTTTATACAGGTAGCGAGCTGAGATTAGGAGCACACTCTTAAAGGGAGTGCTCCTAATCTCAGCTTGTTACCTGTATAAAAGACACCTGTCCACAGAAGCAATCAATCAATCAGATTCCAAACTTTCCACCATGGCCAAGACCAAAGAGCTCTCCAAGGATGTCAGGGACAAGATTGTAGACCTACACAAGGCTGGAATGGGCTACAAGACCATCGCCAAGCAGCTTGGTGAGAAGGTGACAACAGTTGGTGCGATTATTCGCAAATGGAAGAAACACAAAATAACTGTCAATCTCCCTCGGCCTAGGGCTCCATGCAAGATCTCACCTCGTGGAGTTGCAATGATCATGAGAACGGTGAGGAATCAGCCCAGAACTACACGGGAGGATCTTGTCAATGATCTCAAGGCAGCTGGGACCATAGTCACCAAGAAAACAATTGGTAACACACTACGCCGTGAAGGACTGAAATCCTGCAGCGCCCGCAAGGTCCCCCTGCTCAAGAAAGCACATATACAGGCCCGTCTGAAGTTTGCCAATGAACATCTGAATGATTCAGAGGAGTACTGGGTAAAAGTGTTGTGGTCAGATGAGACCAAAATCGAGGTCTTTGGCATCAACTCAACTCGCCGTGTTTGGAGGAGGAGGAATGCTGCCTATGACCCCAAGAACACCATCCCCACCGTCAAACATGGAGGTGGAAACATTATGCTTTGGGGGTGTTTTTCTGCTAAGGGGACAGGACAACTTCACCGCATCAAAGGGACGATGGACGGGGCCATGTACCATCAAATCTTGGGTGAGAACCTCCTTCGTGGGTCGTGGATGGGTATTCAAGCATGACAATGACCCAAAACACACGGCCAAGGCAACAAAGGAGTGGCTCAAGAAGAAGCACATTAAGGTCCTGGAGTGGCCTAGCCAGTCTCCAGACCTTAATCCCATAGAAAATCTGTGGAGGGAGCTGAAGGTTTGAGTTGCCAAACGTCAGCCTCGAAACCTTAATGACTTGGAGAAGATCTGCAAAGAGGAGTGGGACAAAATCCCTCCTGAGTTGTGTGCAAACCTGGTGGCCAACTACAAGAAACGTCTGACCTCTGTGATTGCCAACAAGGGTTTTGCCACCAAGTACTAAGTCATGTTTTGCAGAGGGGTCAAATACTTATTTCCCTCATTAAAATTCAAATCAATTTATAACATTTTTGACATGCGTCTTTCTGGATTTTTTTGTTGTTATTCTGTCTCTCACTGTTCAAATAAACCTACCATTAAAATTATAGACTGATCATGTCTTTGTCAGTGGGCAAACATACAAAATCAGCAGGGGATCACATACTTTTTTCCCTCGCTGTACCTGTTTCTCAGTCAGAGTGTTCTTGTCCTTCTCTGCATTCTCCACCATCTTCCTCATGTAGTCCAGCTGCTTCTCAAGGAGCTGACAGCGAGCCTCCGCACCCTGAAGCGGAGTGACCCGCTCTTAACACAGACAAAAACAGTAGTGAGAGATTAGACATGGTTCCTTATCACCATAAGCATAATTCAGACTACACAGCAACAAGCGGCACAGTGAGTGAGTTGCAGATATATAGTGTCAATGTCAACTACCTTTCTTCCTGGAGCCATCTGCTTCTGTAGCGTAGCATGGAGTGACGGAGTGCTCATATCCATGGGCAGCCTGGGAGAACTGTTTGACGTTCTTCTCAGCCTGCTTCCTTTCCTGCTCCAGACGAAGGATCTTCTCCTGGAGGGTCTTCAGAGCAGCAATGACTGCTAACGGGGAGAAAAACACTTACCGTTAGTAACCAAGCTACAACTATGTGCATAATAGTTAGACCAAGGACCTAGAACAGCTGACAGTCCCATAAGCAAAGGCATTTAATAGTCTACATTGTGCCTACCTTTGCTTCCAGCATCAGGTGTAGTCCGATACACCTGCGGGGTGATGTTCTGCAAGTTCATGGCCGTCTTGGTAAGGGGGGCAGGGGCTTCCCTCACATATGAAGGTGACAGCCTATCTGGAGGCTGGTAGTAGCTCCCTATGTAACTATTTTTGGAAGGGGAGTCCAGCAACTAGAGAGAAAAGCAGCATGATTGAATTACTTAGTAATAGCACCAGCATGAAGACCACTTAAAAGAGGGCTAAACGTGCCCAGTCTTAGCAAGGTGGCAACGCAGCTGTTTAAAAAAAGGCAAACAAACTCTCCTGGAAACACATCGAACGTTCCACTGCTCATTTTAGCAAGCTAGTTTTAGTAGCTAGCTAGCGTGACAATCATAACAACATTCATAGTCGTGATTTGCATGACACAAAGTCCCAAACAAGAGACTCGGTTGCAAACAGAAGCACTTGCATCGCTAGCCAGCTAAGGTTTATTACGAGGAGGGATAGCTTGGTTGCTAGCTAGCTATGTGTTGACTAGCTAACGTTAGCTAGTTCAAAACAAAGCATGTATGGCGTTATTTTGCTAGCTATGAAATTGTCTCACCTGATCTTGATAAGCCTCCATATGTAATGGTAGCAAAAATACCCTCGAAATAAAATAAAAATATATAACATGTATTATTTATCTGATTCCGATTAGTTGACTTTAGCTGGCTAAACGTCCAAACGCTGACAGCAGGCAATTCTCACAATTAACATTTCCCTCCTCCACTCTTCCTTTTACCGCTCTCTGGTTCAGCCTGCGTAGTGGGCGCTGTGCGCACAGTTTATTCTAGGCATAATACAATCAAAAGATTGTCAGCTACAACGGATGTATGGATAAAATAATAGTGTAATGCAGAGCCAATGTAATATATGAATCAAATGCGCTTGGAACCGGGGCATAACTGAAATGTATGAATTTATTAGTCTAACAAGAATTAAAAGCACCTTCTGCACATGCACACATGTATGGGTTTTGAGAGCTGTGTATAAAGGAACGGAATAGCATGTGCCTGTCTGGCACTAGCCATCTGGTGACAGTCTTGAATGGGACAGCAGTCTGCACACGTCCCACTGTGGTCATCTCCCCATCACAGACAGCCTGGCTGGACGTTTTCACAAAGATCAGTCCAAATGATGAAAAACCTCAAACGATGATTTCATATATAAAAATGTACATTTCTATATTAAAAGAGTTGTAATGGTGGCACTGTTGCAAATATTTTTTTAAATGTATCTGTTTCACCTGAGGTATAGAATTGCTTGTCTGAACATTGTGTAAAAACAAAGTGGGGGATGTGTACGCTTCTAAAATTGTGTTAATTTACATTTCTGATAAACAAGGGGAAGGGGGGCCCTCTCCGCACCAACAATCCATATGTTCGCTGGGAAGTGTATTTTTTTAATACCTCTTCATCCCATTTTTTTATGTGGGTCCGATTGCTAAAATAATCAAACTCCCATGTTTCCCCTGTCGTGGGTATGGGCACGCCTTACACGATACCTATTGGTGAAGATCTGCATAGATCCTCCTTTATTGTATTATGCAGCAGCCCATTGGACATGAGTGTTTTCAATCAACTGTCAACCCAAGTTGCTGCTCTGTATAATTGAATCTGCCTTGGTGTTTCAGTGCAGACTCAAGACGTCCCACAGTTGCAAACCTGTGCAAAAATAATGTGAATAAAGTAAGTGTTTGTGAATGACACCCTTCGTTTGCTAGATGTACTGAAAGGTGAGGGTATATAACTGCCGTTATGCTATAGATATTTGTGCAATATTGCTGTTTTGTAACCAGTTAGCTACTGTTAAAAGGTTTAAGAGAGAGAGCAAGAAAAGATTGAATGGACAATTTGGCTAGCTAACCAAACCAGCCTTGTAAACCAGATACCACACGTTTATAACTAGCTAATGAGACTACTAAAACAACGTGCAATGGCTGTCGATTAGTGCCAAACATTTTTGGAAGTACATAGGAAACATGTTTTTTTTCTTTTTGCATGTTGAACAACCCATTACTAGCTGCCAACGGACCGCAAAACAGCTAACTAGAGTTGTAGCTACAGCTAGCTTGCTGTTCTCAGCAGCAGTGCTACTGTACAACCAGGCTTCCTTTGTTGGCAGTAACTTTCTGGTAAACAAACGACTGGCTCTCTCAGAGTTCTCCTTACAGGTTTGAAGGGAAGAAACGTTATCTGCATTGTCCATTGATACGCCCGCTAGTTTTTTTGGCCATTCCCTTTCACTAGTCACACACACAGAGAAGCATATTGGCAATGAATACAATGTCCTTTTTATCCAGTCAAAGTATTTTGTTTCTCATTTGCATTATCAATGCCAACTCTCTAGCCGAATTGTTTAAGTTTTGACTGACATATTTTTCAAGAACTTTCATAAATATTTGTACTGTCTATTGAATGCATTTTGGGCATAGTAACGTAGGCTATATAGAAAATATTTTGGCATCTGAGTATTTGACAGCAAACGGTTGGTATTTCATGCACTTAATATTATAGCCTGCCAGGAGAAATCAAGAGAATCAGAATAAGATGGACATCCAGGATCAGGATGCCACAGCCAGATGGGAGGCTCTGGGCAGCCGCGACGCGAGATCCAGAGGCGCAGCAATGGAGCACATCAGCCAGGAGGTGATGCGGAGAGTGGAGAGTATAGGGCCGATACCAGGCGCAGTCCCCTCGCCTCTAGCTACTGCAGGGCACCCCACCAGCGACCTGAACGACATCCTGGCCCGTCTACTCATGCTGTCCAAGCGATGCCCTTTCATTGACGTCAAGGAGCGATGTGTTTGGCTGCTGCAGAACGTCCAGGTAGGAGAACGCGAGGTCGACCGATGTGGGGCTGTCTGATATGATGTGGCTGTACCACTACCACAGCGTTTCTAATCCCAGAGGTGCAACATCGTGAGCAGGGCCGGTCCTTGCCGTTCTGTTGCCCTAGGCAAGACAAAAAAAAATGCAAAACTAGAATAGTCCCAGTAACAAAATGACGTTGAAAATACGTCTAAAATACGTCTTTTCCAGATGTTGAAGTTAGGTTCAATTTAGGTTCTGAATGAAAGGTGAAAATACTTATTTTCCGGACGTTTAAAATACATATTTTTCAGGATGTTGAAAAGGCTTATTTTCCGGATGTTGAAAATACGTATTTACCGGATGTTGAAATCAGGATCATTTTCGGTTCTGAATGAAAGTTGAAAATACTTAATTTATAGATGTCTATGTTTGGGCCAAATCAAGGCTGGTCCAGACCGGACAAAGTCTGAACCAAACATAGATGTCTATGATTGGTTCAGATTTGGTCCGGACCAAAAATCTATGTCCGTGGATGTTGAAATCAAGGGCGGTCCGGACTGCACCAAAAAAAGACGTCCAAAAAGCGTTGGCGTTGGTCCATGCTTACTGAGGTGCCTACATTGTTGCCTGAAATTGAATTTGGTGAATGCCCATCTATGTGGTAAGCCTACCGTTTGTAAAACCCCCAAAAAGACGCCTGGACAGGATAAAAAAAAGACATCCAAAAGATGTCAGGCCCCCAATGGACTTTTATGAATGCCCTTCTATGTGGTAGGCCCACCATTTGTAAAACAGGCGTTGCATTGGCTTTATTAGTTCTGATTTCTGTGACTAATCAATTTGGCTATTTATCTTTTATCAGCAGTTATCGAGAGCCTATTTGCAATGTGTTTACACAGCAGGAAATGCAGAAGTATTTTCTTTTTCGCTATGATCAGCTTGTGAAAAAGTGACGGATACAAACTTGAAACCACTAATCATGACAATGGGGTGAAACTCCTGGACAACAGTTGTGATTGTCCATTCCATATTGTCCATTTTACTTTGACCAGTCCTGTTTTTAGGATGTGTTGTTTGTTAACATGACAGCGCATTTTTTTATTTGATTGGGTGCTATTTAGGTTAGGCTATTTGATCGGCGAAACCTGCATGATGTAAAAAGCCTCCGTCTCATTACATTGTCATACATTTTGATCTCCAGCCTGTAGGCTACAGAAAAAGCATCATACTCTTTCTGCCACATCCTATATCTGCTACATGATTTATGTTGGATTATCTTTTTGATGGAAAGTTGGTGGAGTGATGCGTCTCTCCAACAGCACCATGGAGTGGCGCGCTGGGAATGGACAAGCAAAATATTTTGCGCCTTTGACAAAGTGGGCACTGCTTATCCCAGGGCGGCATCAGCGCTCACCTAAAACACCCATATGCCACTGGTTGATAGAAATTGTCATTGTTTTTGGGCAGTATTATGAGGTTTTATATGTTGTTGGAGGTGTGTCTTGGTCAGTTTAGCTCAGAAAATGCCGCCCTCGTCAATCTGCCGCCATAGGCGCAGTGGTCTAAGGCACTGCATCGCAGTGCTAACTGTGCCACTAGAGATCCTGGTTCGAATCCAGGCTCTGTCGCCGCCGGCCGCGACCGGGAGACTCATGGGCGGCGCACAATTGGCCCAGCGTCGTCCAGGGTAGGGGAGGGAATGGCCGGCAGGGATGTAGCTCAGTTGATAGAGCATGGCGTTTGCAACGCCAGGGTTGTGGGTTCGATTCCCACGGGGGGCCAGTATAAAAAAAATATGTATTCACTAACTGTAAGTCGCTCTGGATAAGAGCGTCTGCTAAATGACAAAAAAAAAAAATAAAAAAAAATAGGCAGCCGCCTAATCCTGCCTAATGAGTGGGCCGGCCGGCCGAGACTTCACAGAACGCTTGCAGAAGTCAATGAGAGAAGTGAGAAATTCTAACTTAGTTGTTAATTTTGTCAATCTAAAGGCACATCCTGGATCCGAGCCAATGTCTTAAGTCGTTGAACATGTTATTACTCATGAACCTCATGAAAGTGATAAACTGACACGTTTTGATTTGTGCCTTTGAGTGCCTTTTGATTTGACGGCCTGCGCATGCACAGTTCGTCGCGAGACTACCATCAAATATGTTTATAACTAACCCAAGATAGACTACAACCTGTAGTTTCCAATGGGAACAAATTAGTCATAGTTGGCAGAACAAGCAAGGAGGGGGTCAGAGCCAAGCACGAGCTAGCGAGATCCTATTGGTGCGTTCTAGCATGCATTTGCATATTTCCATTAGGAAACTCCTACTCTGAAGTACGCGTGTGCAACCATTCAATTCGCCCTTGCACTCCTAAACAATGACATTTTGTACAACTTTGGCAAAGGCTAAAGTCTACAAAACGTTGTCCACTCTGTTCGTAACATATTGTAGTTTTGGGAACCGAAAACTGTATTGAGATCAAATGTTGCATCGCCGAGAACATTTGCAGAATGTCGCCCAAAATCAATCTCGTTCCATCTTCTCCCACTGCCGGCCACTGTGCTTCCTCTCACCACTATATTTGGTAGTGAGTGGAAACGCCAAGCGGATGCTTCACATTTATACATCCGGTTAATTATTTGTCTCATTGTTCTATCTGTGCTACCTTTAGACCCGATGACGTGATTCTGCGCATGAGCTTAGCTAGCCAACTTCACCATGACGTTATCGGGGATTTCTATTGGAGAAGCAGTTACTACACATCTTCATACTGTACTGTCTTTTCCACTACTGTTGCCACTGATGCAGTTGTTTTCGTGGTGTTCTATGTCCCTGTCTGTTTTCTAGATTGAAGTCAATATCTTATTTCTATCTATTTATAAATAAAGACCTCATGTAGGCAGAGTAGTTGGTCTGTAGATATATTTTTAGCCTATGGTCATAATGCCTCATGCCATCATGTAGCTAGGCATTACAAGTGATCTCTTTGTTG